TATTTCACCCAAATGGAAATTTTATAGTAATGCTTAATTCCTAGGCCAATTTATACATATTTACTATTTTATTTGGGTTCTATCAAGTTATTTTAAAAATGTAAAATAGTATCTAGAGTAATGGGTTTTAGAAATTCTGTAAGGTAAAACAGAAACAAGCAAGGAGAAATATAAGCACATAAGAGGGAGTTTAAATGGTAAAATACAGGGAAAACAATATGAAATGGTCAGTCATTGGGAATGGTCTCTAATGTGTTGAAATGATCTAGCATACATTTAATCTTTTTTTTCCCCCTTTACTAATAATTTTCAATATCTCAAATATTCTTTGCTCTATTTTTTTTCCTGTGTGAACTTCCTGAAAGTAGAAAAGGCTAATGTAGCTGGGCTGCAGAGTGAAGGGGAGAAGTTCGGAGTGTAGCCTAGAAAATAGGCAACAGCGAGATCATACAGGGCCTTACTGGTCAGTACAAAAAGAAGCCATTGAATGGTATAGTAAGATTTGTGGATTAAAAAAAAAATTCACTCTGGCTATAACATGGAGGATAGTTAGTGTGGATGCAGACACCAGTTATGAGTTATTTCTATACTCTAGGGATGAGATTATGGTAATTTAAACAAGATGGCAGCCATAGAGCTAGAGAAACAAGATTGAGTTTGAAGAGGGGTTGGATATAGGAGTAAATGGTAAGGACAATGGAAATATGAAAATTGAATATTTCTAGTTTTCTGGTTTATGCAACTGAATGGATGGTGGTTTCACTTACCAATACAGGAAATAATGGAAAAGAACCAGTTTTGAGGTCCTGTTTCACAAAAGTTGACTTGAAAGGGCTTTTGAAACTTTTAAGCCTTGTGAACTTTGGCAAGTTGCTCTTTCAGAAAACTGGTTTACTCATCTCCAAAATGAGGTAATCAGTACACTAAATGACCTAATCAGTACTTACTGGAACTACAATGCAATTATATCATTGTGGTTTCAAAGGTGTGTGAGTTTAGGTAGAAGCAGAGGATGAAATATTTGAAATGATAAGCAGAATATTTGAATTTCATGTTAAAAAGAAAAGAGATCAAAATACATGTCTAAGAAAGGGAATACATATGTAGGAAATGGTATGACCAAACTATAATTTGAAGAATGTTATTCTGACAGCTGGATTGAAGCAAGAGATAAGTTAGCAGATGAGAAGTAAGATAAGACACTGAATCAATGAAGGCTTAAATTGTAGTAGCAATTCTTAAAAAAGGAAGTTCAAAGTTTTAGATGGTATGTAAGATGAATTAGTAGAATTTGATAACATAAATCAGAAAATGACAGAAAAAGAAACCGACACTAACAACTTATGTGTTTTTTTTCAAGCTTGAAGATGAAGAAGATAAGGGAGACACAAGAATGTATTTAAGGGATATTATTTAGAGATTTGAGGATGATCAGTTTATTAATTGACATTCTAAGTGTAGCTATTTCATATATTAAAAAGTAAATTACATTTTTAAGAAAATAATCATTTAACAGAAGTAATTGACTAGATGTACCATTTCTTTAAAAAACAGTACTAACTAGCATTTAATAAATATATGTGGAAATTTATTTTAAAAAATATAGTTAGCACTAAGAACAATTTCTGCAATTTATTCTAAAAGTTTTTTTCTTACTAGATCTCTGATTTCATTTTTCAGCTCCATGTGGAGGCCATTTTTCAGCTCCCAGTGGAGTGATTCTCTCACCAGGATGGCCAGGATACTATAAAGACTCTTTGAATTGTGAGTGGGTGATTGAAGCTGAACCTGGACACTCTATCAAAATTACATTTGAAAGGTCTCTGAAAATATTTTTCTTACCTTCTAAGGAAAAGATTATCTAAAAGAATAGTTGATATTCTCTGTTTCATTTACCAAATCAATGTATAATTTTATTGTGATTAGTCCATTGTTGTGCCTTGAATGCTTCAGACTGTTTGCCCCTTTTTAACCTTTCAGCTTGTTTTCAAGTTAATTTTCTATTTGTTTAATGCTATATCAGTACTATTGAAATAAACAAGATTGACCTTTTTGCTTTATATGTATGTACACTACTGAAATATGAACATGTGACCTTTAACTTAATGAGTTTAGTTGCCCTATATTTTGAATGACCTGTGAATTTTGCTGGGCTGGGTTTCAAGAGGCAAAGGTTCTGTAAACACATTGAAATCAATACTGGACTGCAGTTTAAGACATTTATGCACATATATACCTACACTTACAAGTCCTTCTGAAAATGGCTGTGTCAAGCAGTATAT